GTTAATGTGTCAGTACACTCTTAATGCCAAGGGGCAATTTTGTTTCACAAAGGGGAACGTCTCTGAGCACATCCCGACCCGTGCAAAATTTGTTCTTAAAACCAGACAAATTGTGTGAGGTTTTACACATTTTTCTACTTTGAGGAACAAATTTTGCACCGGTCTGGACGTGCTCAGAAACTTTCCCTCCTATGGAACAATGTTGTCCCTTACAAAAGAGTGTACATTTGCGATAAAATTTGGCTAAAACATCGAAATTCCGACGAAAACCAGAGCGCCGAGTCACGCCAACAAAGGGCCGCATAATTTTGTTTGACTCCCACTGCCCTCCCAGTTAACTTTCCAGTTAACGAAAATGGTTGGGATGCACAGTTGAAGACCAGGGTATTGGCTTTCCAACAACTTTTTCTCCTATTAGACTCGAAGTTCCACTGACAATTACGGCAACTGCATTAAAAGCAAGCAATTATTAAACGCGTGCAGTCCTCCACGTCTTTCTTTTCTCAATTCTTCGCCCTGTTCATACAAATTGGGTATATTCAGCAAGCCAGTTGAAGAGCAAGTCGTAAGCTGTTGAACAAAATTTTACCAGCGATCGCGAGCTATATCCATTAACACACAACGTCACAAAAAATATCGCGCTTCACTACACTGTTCTCACTTCTAGGGCCGTTTCTGTTGTTTTTGCAGCAAAAAGATACAGAGTAAAAGTAAAGACCATAAGCATAGAGAATCGAATACGGTATTTCAACGGAGCGCTGCCCGAAACTAAGAAGAACAAAAGCGGAAACAGAGAACGGTGGAGGGGGTAGGCGCAAGGACGGAGGAGCGGCGGGTAAAGGGAAGCCTCCCGGGCCACCCTCCACTACTCTGCGTCACCCCCAACACCGCTCTCTGTATCCGCTGGGACAGATGTCTTGTCCACGATATAGAAAACAGATCTGTATGAGGGGCGAGACAAAATTTAGCAATTGACCACTGTAACGAAACAATTTTTCCTTTCGTAGGATGCGTGTAAATCCGTTTCTTTTTTATGGGCAAGATTTGTTCTTTTACATTTAGAGTGCGGAGGGGGGTACTCAGTATCAACATTGATTATGCTACCTTGGAAAGTGTCATGCACGGCCATTACACTTGGCGTGGATGTAGCGAGTATTTCATGAACTGTTTCGCATACCCTGGAAAAGCACTCCTGAGCATCGTTCTGTTGATCGAATATCATCTCAATCACATTCTCAAATTTGTCTTTAAGGAACTAGAGATATCTTCCCTGATCCTTAGAAACAAAATCCAATCCAATTCAAAAGGAAATGAAGCCGTTACACTGTTCAATTTAAACAAGGTAGATGTATGCCAGACCACGTCTCGCGTAAGAAGCTTCGCGATATCTGTAACGCTGCGACGCGCCTGGCATACATCTACCTTGGCCTGTGGCGCTGACAGCCGAGTCGGGTAGTGGAAAAATGTACACAAAGCTACGGGCCTACGGCCCGTCAACGGCCCATCACCTCGACTAAGCGTGCAGGGTTGTACATTTTTAGCCCGCTCTTTTGGTGCAGGGTTGTACATTTTTAGCCCGCTCTTTTGCTTAAAAGCTATATAAGCGGGCTTATGCCATCGCCCCTGTGTCTGTCCGTCCGTCTGTCCGTTCCCCAAGAAGGACGTGAGCTAGAGGTCTGAAATTTTCAGGGTATTATTGTTGTCACTTCTAGACAACGAAACGGTTGATGCAAATCCTGGCAACCACCCCTGAGTGGGTATTAGGGGGTAGCAAAGAAATAGGGGTTGGTTCAAGAAGTGGGAATTTTTATTTTAATGGTCTCCTCAGGGGTCCCTTGTGAAGGTAGAGGTCTACGGGCCGAAATTTTGTCCGTTTGGCTCTATCCCAAACCGTTCAGGCGCTAGAGGGAGTTTCTCTCACAAAAGTGGCCCAAAACTAAATACATCATTTTAAGAAAGTATTTGATGGTCTCCAAGGGGTAAATCGTAAAAGACGAACCCTCTGGGAGAAAATGTCGCCCGTTTGGCTTTCACTGTCAACTTAAGAAAGGGAGTTTTTCTTACCAAAATGGTCAAAACAGAAATATATTTATTTTTTCAGAAGTACACTTCTGTCTTAGAAGTATGCCGTTGGTTCAAAACTTTCTTCTAAGCAGAAGAGTGGGCTATTTTATGGTGGCACATTATTAATAAAACGTGTA